CTCAGCATGTCACCTTCTAATAACTCATATATATTTCTTTGCTGTTCTATTGATCCCTACCAGTCTGGGAGACAGTCTGCTAATAGTAATATATTGAAGCCAAAAAAAAGTGTATATGAAAGTATCTTTATACAGGAAATTAATTTATTATTTTACAAACAATTATTTTTCTATTGTGGCTCACAAGTGTGGATATTATTAAGCAGTATTAAAGAGTTAGGAAAATATTTATAGAAATAAAATCTAACTTAGCATTTACATGGTATATGAAATATACAACCTGCTACAAATTTGTATGAAAATATTTTCCTCCAGATTTTTTTATTCATAGTTTCCTTCTGCTATTTTGTCAGATTTATGTGAACATTTATTAATCTCAAAATGGTAAAATTTATTAAGAGTTGATAAGCAAATCATTGAAGCATTTCACATATTTGAATATTTTGCTAATCAGTGATTTAACATTTCAGTATTTTATCTATTTACAGTTTCAATATTTTATCTATAATGATATCTCAAAAATATACAACTTAAAAAACACCCAAAAATATATATGTCTTCTACGTGTTTTTTCTCGTACATAGTCTAATTATTTTCTGTTTTACAGAACGTTTGCCCAAAATTGTAATAACATTGAAGAACTAAACCTAAATGGCTGCAAAAAACTGACAGATAGGTAGGAAAAATATTGGATTATTCAGAAAATTATAATAATAGTAAGGAAGTGTTTAATAAAACTAGACAAAAGTTGATTTGTAAGATTGCACTTTCTTTTACACTCAAATGTTGCAACACCAATGACAAATTAAACACATAAACTTCATAAATAATTACTGTATTTTACAGAAATCACCAAAAATAATACACCATTATAAACAAGGTTTAATGATTGCAAGTTACTTCTGACATTATTTAAAGGGATTTTTTATGATAAGTATTTGTAATATTCAATAATCCAGTAAGAGCGGTTAGAAAAAAACTATTTCATTTTTAAATTGTCTTTACACTGTCATTTGACCTATACTCACTGTGCTTTATAAATACTATTATATGTATGTTTGTATTTTCTTGATACCAACATGTATTTGAAACCTTTAGCCAAACATATGTTGATATCATCGAAATAGTTAAATCTGTATATTAAAGTTTGAGGTAGAATTCAATTTTGTTATTGTAGTAAACCAAAACTAAATCAAACGTCTTTGTACAGCACCTGTCAGAGTTTAAGCAAGCATTGTTCCAGACTTTTATATTTGGACTTAGGTTCCTGTTGTCAACTAACAGATCTTTCCCTGAAGGCTCTTGGGTAGCTAATATTTTCTATATTTTCTCAGTAATTAGATTTTGTGAATTAAATAGCATACTAGTAACTCATGTTTTGTATGTTCTAATCGTGTAATTTCCTTTTAAGGTTTTTTTGAAAATTTTATAGCAAAATTACTACAACTGTGCTTACTTTTATGCACTTGCTTTACAGTCGGTGCTTTCAAATAATATTAATTTTCATTGAAATGTTGTGAGAAGACCAAAATATACTGGTGTTTTTTTAGATCAGGTGAACATACCATTTAGAAGTTATTAATAATATAGTCTATCTATCAACTGATCATGCACTCACAAAATATTATTAGTGAATAATAAATAAATTAAAAAATAATCCACAATTTTCTGATATTAAGAATTCACATGTGATAAGAAATTGGATGAATCAACAAAAATAAAAAAAAACTACTACCTGAACAATTTTGTGAGATAAACTTTCATTTTTCACCTTTAAAGAAAAAAGGTAAAAAAGTAAGATATAAGCAAATATTTTAACCTTAATTCTTAGTTATCTGTAATTTTGGTATATATTTTTTCATTTACTTGTGTATAGTACACAGTATATGTAGATAACTGTTGCACAAATATAGAGTAAAAAAAAAATTAACTAACTTTTAAGTAGTTGAGGATGTTTCAATACATTGTATGCATATATTTTCTTTAAAAAGTGTTATTATTTCTTAAAGAGTGTAAGGTGTTTACTATTGAAACTTTACTTGTTTCTTTCTCAATATATTCTTATATTTTCTGGTAACCAGGGAAGGCTGTCCACTTTTAGAACATATAAACATATCTTGGTGTGATCAAGTGTCAAAGTATGGTGTTGAAGCCATGTCAAGAGGCTGTCAACACCTTCTGGTTTTCATATGTAAAGGATGTCATTTAGTAAGTAATGTCTGATGGATTTATTCTCAAACATTCTTTTCATTTTTTGTTACATATTCAGCTTCCTTCTAAATGGTAGATTCTGAATAAGCAATTTGAAATTTCGCGTATAGAGGATTATTCTAAATTAGTTGTCCTATTCAAAAAAGTATAATTTGAAAACTAGTCATCAGAGAGATAAAATATTTGGTAGATGAACTAATGATGGGAACTAAAATGCCATTGTCAAAATAATTATCACCAGGGGGAGCTGAACTAGAAGTAGCATTTCAGATTTCAGTATAGGAGTGAGAGGTAACTTTTATTGGTGATCCAGGGGTTCACTGGATGCTCTTTTAAGGATTAAAATGTAAAAATCAGTCTACTTTGGGGGCATTTGCTAGAGATTATTTTGTATATTATTTAATAACTATTCAAATAGCATAAACTACACACAGCAATGATATTAAGCACAAGGGGGCAGCTGTCCTTTCCTGCTCTACTTCAGTGATACCCATATGTAGCTGACCACAAAATTCACAAAGTTAATATGTTAGCAGTGTTCAGGATTGCCATCATTCATGTCCATTGTTTCTTGTGCTTAGGAGAGAAAAATACACACAGCTGAATGAAACTGATTTCCAACAGTTGCATTGTACTTGGTGTCATTTGAAACCTTCAAGGGCTGGCAAAACAGCAGATGCACCATACTAAATAAATGATTTGAGAAGGTCCCATACCCTGAAAGTTAAAGAGTTAAAATCTGGAGATCGTGCTGGCTGTGTGTGTGTGTGTGTTTGGAAAATGTCTGCTAATCACTCAGTCCCAGAAAACCATGTTCCAGCCATTGACATGACAGTCTGTTTGATGTAGGGTGAAGCACCATCTTGTAATAAGACTGGTATTCAAAATTACTCTTACTTGAAGTGAAGAAATAACATTTTCCAGTACGAATTAGTAGCATTCATGGTCGTAATTCATTTATTTCTGGGTTCCTCAAAAATGTGAGGTCAAATGATGAACTTACTTCTAAATCTTTCCCACACTGTACCATCTCATCATACAATGGCTGTTTCATAAATGAATGTGTATTGTTTTCTCTTCAGGTTACACAATTGCAGATATTGACCTGTCCATAGAGAAAAAAGTGAGCCTCATTAGTTCATAAGATGTACTATATTGTACTTGTATTTATATTTTATCGGGGTAGGAACAATTGTTCACATAATGTGTGGAACGTACTATATTGTATTTGTTTTTATATGTTATCAGGGTAGGAACAGTCGTTCACATAATGTGTGGAACTTGACCCAGAAGTCGGAGGGCAAAGTCTAACCATTTGTGTGCATCTCCTGGCAGCAATTCGAGGGTGATATGTAACCTGTGTTAATACAGTCTCACTGTTTTACTCATGACTGTAGGAGTCAGGTGTGCTTAGCTACTTGATTGGTCCTGCATTTCTCTAAATGATTTTCTTCTTAAATAACAACCATCACTTGTCTGACTTCTGTTACAATTTTGACAGGCATTGTGTAGTATCATTATGAGTTGCACTGGCACCCAGTCATGTTTGTTAAATGTTTGCTTTTTTTATCATCTTCTGACAAGCCTTATTGCTACATGATCCTTTTCATTTACCATTTATATTTCAACAGAATCTTGATGCTGCACCAACATTATTCCCATTTATTTTTTAAGAGCATTTCTAGCATTCAGTGACAACCATTTTTTAAGGTAGAATGAATCATGGTATATTTGAAGCTAGTTTTATATACTTCTACATCTTCAAATTTCATGAACAGTGCTCCTAGTTATAATTATTTTCATTACTGGGATTATCTTTACCATCCTCTCATTACTTTATCTGCTAAATGTAGTTTTCTGATGATTAGTTTTGAGTTATGGACACTAGAATAAGCCAACTCACATAGGCTTACATTTCATTGGTGATGGACTGTAAAAAATGAAGACATCAAACATAACTCCTAGATTTGTTATTTATACAACAACAGAGATACCATTAAGAGCATTTTAATGCTGAATACCCCATTACAAAGAGTTTGACTGAATATTTATGACATTTTTTTTATTGATTTTTTGAAATTGTTTCCTTCTCTAACTGAGCCATCAGAACATGCTGAAGTTAAATTTATAAAATTATATACTTACTGCAAATTGTTTTGTAAATAAGCTTAAAGAGGCTTTCAGTGAATTTGCAGAAATTGCAGAAAAATATAAGAACTTGCTCTAAACCATCACTAAATCTAAACTTGTTAGCCAAAGTTAATTGAAGAAATGGATGAAGAAACCTTAAAAAAAATTATTTAATATTTTTTATATTAAAAATTGTATACTTAAAATACTTAAAAGTCTGGGGCCTTATAAGACTCAAAACCTGTAATAGGCACAGCACACATAGCCCATTGTGTAGCTTTGTGCTTAACAAGAAACAAACATTATAAGGTTATAGTACAAAACGTTTGTCAGTCAACTTGTTGCCCAAAATAGATAGAAAGATGAGAAAAATTAATTGAGTTAATACCTTTTTTAGAAAAGAAACCTAAAATTTACACTTGCAAGCTAAGATCTAACAAAGAGAGACAAACTTGAAACATAAAAATCTGTAGAGGGTTCAAACATGAGACACTTATCAGTCAGCTCAAGTTAAACAGCACATGGCGAGCAACTTTCAGGGATTGAACAGAGTACTAACTGGGCATAATGTATAGTCAGGAGGAGAAAAATTGAGTTCTGATAAACTAATGGAATAGTAGTAACATTTGGATTCCTTATTTATATATTCCACCATTAGATATATCCATGTATTTAGTATTTGTGCTGTTAGTAAGCTCTCTCTGTACTTGTCATTTTAAAGGAATTTTTTAAACATACTTAAAAAACAAAGGATTAACAATAAAGTGACACTTTCCTTAGCTAGCCTTGTTTCTAACCAGAATTTGACAACAAGTAAATGATTAGTAATGTCTTAATATTAAACACATTTATTAAAATACTTGTGACCTACTATGAAATGTAAAAAAAGTAATTAATTGGATTAATTATATTTATTTTTATGGATAACCACTATGACTGGCTAATAAAGATTAATGACATTTGTTCTAGTGAGTTCATATGACATGAAAATAATGATTTTGCTTCTACTGGTTAAACTGATACCAAGTGCAAAATAATTAGGGCTTAAATTTTTTTGATGTTTATTTTTAGCTGTTTTAATAGGTATCTTAAAATCAATATTTTTGGGGGATTTAATTTTATAAAGATACTTTAAAATCTGCATTTTCCAGAGTTTTTGCTTTTGATACTGTAGTAAGTATACTAATAATCTGTACATTATTTATGCACTAATCTCTCTCATGGGAATTATAACAGGTACGAAACATAGGCTTAAATTTCATTGGCAACTGACTGTAGAAAATGATTATGTCAAATGTAACTCCCAGATTTGTTGTTTTTAAAGTATATTTTTTATTTATTGTTATAAAAATAACTAAAATGTAAAATTTAGAAATGTATTAGACTATGGAAAGGGTTAAATCTCGTCGCATCAGTGACTCAGGAAAGTGGGGACGTTAATATAAAGTAAACTGAATAACCATTTCTGATGTCTTTCTGGTGTTTATTGAAAAATCACCAATTTATTTTTTTGTATTGGGAATGTTTTATCAGTGTTTATTGGTTAACACTGAAAACCAGAAGCCCTAAAAATAATAATTGATTAAATGAAATATTGACACACGTAGATTTAGACAAGATCAGTCAAATATAAAAATATTGATATGAATAGATTTAGACAAGATCAGTCAAATATAAAAATATTGATATGAACAGATTTAGACAAGATCAGTCAAATATAAATGTTGATGATTTAAGATCTTTCTCATGTATACAAATGTGAGTGATTTGGGTAATACCTGTTTTTCATTTTAGATCACAGATGAAGTCATTGGTGCTTTAACTAGGTTTTGCAATGATCTTCAGGTGATCAACCTACATGGATGTATTGTAAGTATTCCAGGAATTGAAAATACACCAGAGTAATGGTAGAATTTATTCTTAAAACATTTTTACAAGTGAAGCCTGTTTGGACAATGTTGTTTATATTGTTCTTAAACGTGAAATTTATGAAAATGTCTTCAATATATTTACTCATAATCAACTATTAATAGTATTTGTGCATATAAAATTTTAGATTTCATATTGAAATATACAGTAGCTAGTGTATTTAGCACTGACAAAAAAAAAAACAGTGTTTATAATGTTGAGGAATGGAAATTTTTTCTAGTACAAAAACATTTTCTGTATATCCTGACTTCATGCTTACAAAAGGGGGAGAGGATGGTGCATTTGAATCAGTATGAATTGCTGTATTGGTAGGTTCTTAAATCTTTGATAATTAATTGTATCAAGAGTATTATTGTTTCTAAGTGATGAACAAATGGTTTGTCCAATTTTCTGAAGAATATTGGTGATGATAGTATTCTGCTCATCAGTCAGAACTGCCCCAAGATTTACTACCTTTGTGTATCAAACTGCTCTAGGCTCACTGATGCATCTCTTGTAGCACTAGGTCAGGGATGTCACAATCTCAGGTATTTATTTTTCAGATTTTGTTCAAATAAGCAAAACAAAATTATTAATTTTTATTTCTTAATTAATTTTTGTGTGTATAAAATTTGAAGCATCACTAGTTAAAGATAGCATTGTTTTTTGAAACACAATGATTAAGAGTGGATGACTTTATATTTAGAATAACCTCTTTTTTTGACCTAGTATTTGTCAATTAATTAAATTGTCACTTCATTATATTTAAAACTGATTGGTGATTCCTCAGTTGTTGTTTTCATCACTCAAGACTGGTAATCACCTTTCAGGTGTTGAGTGCACACCTGCATGTCAAATTTCTCTATATATGTAAAAATGATAATTCTTACTCTATTTTTATTCTGTGTTTTGTTTTAAATTTTAGGATTGATTTTTTTTTCATTCTGAAACATTTATTTAATTTCCAAAGAAAGATTTTAAAAATTTATCAACTTTAACATATGTGCAGCTGCAAGGAGTCTTACCTGTTAATAATGCATTTATGGATTTTTCTAGATTTTTTTTGCCCATTCAAAATTATTGATTGATATTCTAAGAATCTATCATCTCTTGAGAATATAATCATCTGTGTCTTTTTTCTCATGTAATTTTGTTCTCTGTTAGTGGTTTTATTACAACAGTTCTCTGATGTCATCCTTTTATGATGTCACAGCATGCAGACTGAACAATTACTAATGAAGAACAACTTTGAAAATTGTTGTAGTCAATGTTTAATACAATTAATTGGATAGAGCAGATTATAAACTGTTTACACCAATGTATATAGCAAATAAAGTGATTTATGGTTTCTCTAGATATTGATTAGCAAAGCTCCTATAAGGATGGACAAAGTAATCTAAAGGAAAGTTTAGAAGACTAAGGAAAAAAAAACAGATCTGAGAAATGTTTTGATTATTCCTTTAGAAATTTTTTTTTTCATTCATCAAAATTGTATTGTATTAAATGTATTTGTTTGAAAGTAACAGAAATTTTCTTGTATGACAAGACATTAAGCAAGCTTAGTAGGCAGTGGCAAAATATTACAGTGAATTAAATAATTGTTGAATATTATTGTTAATTTTATCATATTCAAACAGTGCACACAAATAAAAGAACCTACCATTATTGAAAAGAAACTATATTTATTAGATATAGGATCAGGATTATTGTTAGCAAAGATCATGACAAAGGTTACGGTGATGTCATTTTGAAAGTTGAGGTCCTAGATCACTGATAAATCTTTTACAATATGTTTATTATGATAATAGCCATAGGTGATGATTTTTACATTTGACAAAATAAAGTATCAAAAGAAATTTTTAAATGAATATCAGTCAAAGTGAAACTGGTTGGATATATATATAAAATGGAAAATTTTGATCAATAATAAAAGAATTGAAATTCTAAGATGAAAGGATTTTTTTTTTTTCAAATAAGTTCTCACAACAAAATTTTGGAAATTTCACAACTTAAAAGAAGTTGATAGAAATACTAATTCAAATTATGTCTCTCTTAAGCCTAAGCTGAATACTAGTTAGTATTAAGTTTCATGCAATTTTCTTTAGTATTTTCATTATGGAAAAAAAATAGGGGATATTGTCTATAAAGGGTTAAAACATAATATATGCACTTAACAAAACTTATTGGGTGAGATTACCAGAGACAAGTAGAATTGGACAAGTGCAACTTCCCATTTCAAGTTCTTGAAAACAAGAACTTCTTTGCTGAGGCCCTTATGTTAAGTTTCTCTCATGACTGGGCGAGAAGTAGATATTTTATAAATCTTAAATGTAATATGTTTATTTATTCTTTAAAAGATCTTTGCAATTTTTAAAAATTCTGTCCAAAAACTTAATTATAAATATAACGCTTAAGTAAAAATTTTGTTTTGTCATTATCTTGTATTTCATTTTAATCATGAAATAACCATATTAAACGATAAATAACCTGCTTTAATTCATATTGTTCTAAAAACAGGTTACTTACATTATAACTCAATCTTTTGTAAAGACAGTTGTTATTCTGCAATTTAAACATATTTAATGAATATCAGTGATTCATTTTATCAACTTGTTCTTTATATCGTGCTGTTTAAACTATGAAAACAATTGTATGAACATAGGCTTTGCTATTAAAACGTTTCTTTTTTACATATCTGTATAGGACATTAGAAGTAGCTGGATGTTCACAGTTTACTGATAGTGGATTCCAGGCTCTAGCAAAGGTATATATATATGATCTTTAGGTGTTTTTGTACATCTACATAACTAAACCATTCTAATATACAAGGTTAAGTTTTAAATTAGGAAATAAATTTAGAAAAGTATTTTTAATTAGTGCATTTTGGTACAGTCTGGTGCAGTTACCAGCAAAAAATTACCTTTCATATTAATAATTGTACTTTTGATAAACAATTCCTGTTTCATCACTCTAAAAATCAATAATGTAATATAAACCCATACACACAACTTAAAATATTCTATACCTTTATTGTTATAACTCTGGTTCTACACTGAAACTTTGTTTGAAAGAATTATATTAATTACATAATTGACAACCCCCTTCATTTTAGTCTGAGGCACTGTAGTGAAAGGCAGTCTGTGCATACCTGGCTAGTAAAGGTACAGACACAGCTTTCTCACATTCTTTTATCACAAGATCACAATCTGTTGAACCTATATCTGTTTTTGATTCACACACTTCTCTGACATTCTTAGGATCTTGAATGCTGACAGATTTCAAAAGATCCTTTTTCTTGCTTCCTTCCCATCACTGTACAGAATTTTTTACTATAGCATTTGCTAACTCCATACGATGACTGGGGCATTTAATTGATGTATAGAAGACTTTGCGACATCCATTTTTTAGACTTCCCCTAAAATGCATTTTGACCAACTTCAGTTTACTACATCCTCTCTGGCCAAACATTTGATACAGGAAGAATCATAGTACAGCAAGCTATCTGTATGAAATATAGAAAGAAGTGAAGCATGGTGTCCTTCATACTAAAGAGTTCCCAAAGACACCATTCTGTTTTAGTTAAATCTGATTTAACATTTTTTACTTCTGGAGGCATTTCTTTTTTTCCACATGATGTTGATGCATTTCAATTTCATTTATTCATCTTCATCCTTCACTACATCATTCTCTAGAAGTAAGTAATCAGTTAGCTCATCCACTTCTTTTAAACATTCTGACCAAAAACTACATTAATTGAATTTCCGTGACAAAAACAGAGGATCAAGGGTTGAAAATGAGTGTTTAAACCTAAAATCATTGTTGTTGCATAGAGCAGCTATCTAGTCTGAAAGAAACCTTTTCAGTTAACATCTAAAGAGATCAGCCAGCCTAAGTCAAACTGACATTGGTGATGTTGCATAAAACTACCTAATCTGAAAGGGTTTTCAGTTAACATCTAAAGAGATCAGCCTAAGTCAAACCTGACATCAGTGTTGTTGCTTAAAGCAGCTACTTAGTCTGAAAGAAATCATTTCAGCTTATCATTTTCACATGTTTGTGTCTAGGGTTTTCAGTATGTGTATATGACAATTCTTTTTGAGGTCATTTGGCCTAATTTTTGTTTATTATGTGGCTGGTTGTACTTTATTCTTTTTAAGTTGAGTTGCAAGTAACTGTGGACCAAAAAATCTGTGAGTTTAGAGTATGTGGTTAATGAATGCTGCTTCAAGATTGTGTGTTCTATTACTTGTAAATCTTTGGAATTAACTCACTTTATATCCTGATGAACAGTAGAGAAATTATTCTTAGATGTACAAGCAGATTTATAGTTTCACTGTGATCTTAAAATAGATTATATTAAATGAAATCTGTTAAAGAAGATTTAATCCTTGTTTTATTACTGTTTACGGTCAGTCATTTGCTTAATCTGGTTCACACCATAATTGTTGTTGTTCATAAAAATTGATGATGCATGTAGTGCCTAGGCCACTGCTGTGTTTGTTTATCCCAGCAGGCCTGATGAGCCATGGTTTTGGGCAAAAGGTCAACACTGTAAGTGGCCTATGTAGTATGGTTAACATGTTACAACATATTCTTGTTTGCTTTCACTCATGAATACTTAGAATTAATAGAAACAGATCAAAAATGGACCATATAGTATGAATGGCCTGTATTTTATAAAGATATTATCTTTGATTGGTAACTATTGTATGTGATATTTATTCTTTTTACATGCATTTTTCTACTCGTGATATATTTTTGGCAGGGTTGTCACAAGCTGGAGAAAATGGACCTAGAGGAGTGTGTGCTGGTAAGTAAGTATTTCACCCTTCATTTTCTGTATCATATTTAGACATGGTGATAGATCTTTAATTTCACAAATCAACTATTAAAGACCATGATGGATTTTTATTGTGTTATTTTAACCTGTATTCACATAGATTGATAATTAATTACTTGCTCACCATTCAGTTTCATTTCTTCTTTTAGATAACTGATAATGCTCTGTGTCATCTTGCTGTTGGTTGCCCTTCTCTAGAAACTCTAGTAAGTAACTTCTTACAATCTTTGTAATGCAGTTTAAAACTTTCTTTTGTGTATTTTTATTAAGCCAATTTTTTTTTTTTAAATCTTTATTTAAGGATCTAGCATGTGCGTGTTCCAAGAGTTATGTGCTGTTGTTATTCTGGTAATTATTATAGTGACGACATTAGAATTTAAACATTTATATTATTTTAAACAATTCTGCACACTAATTGAAGATAATACTAAAATTGTTGTGTTATGTTTATGACATTAGTTCTTTTATAATTTTTCATGTATATGATAATTAATCATTGCAAAGTATATTAGGTATTTGAAAGGATTACTTAAACAGAATTTGTTTTTTAAGTTTAAATTTTATTTGCATTCTGTAAAACTATATTAGAGAATTAATTTCTTTTCTCTTGTAGAGCTTATCTCATTGTGAACTGATCACAGACGACGGGATTCGCCACTTGGGGGCCAATGGCTGTGCTGCAGACAACTTGACAGTGTTGGAACTAGACAATTGTCCTTTAATCACTGACTCTTCCCTGGACCATCTAGTCTCATGCCACAGTCTGCAGCGAATTGAGTTATATGACTGCCAACTGATCACAAGAGCTGGTATTCGCAGGCTACGAGTGAGTTTTTAAGTTATGTGTAACTTTGTTTGGGATTTTTTGTAGACATTTTGTATTGTCAGCTAATTGGTCTCTTGTACATTACCTTAACCCTTTCAATACCGGGTTGGTCAATTTGACTGATTCACGTAACTTTTGTACTTGTTTAAAGTCTTTATAAATTTAATACATATAACTCTCAATATATTGGGTATATCTTCACGAAATTTGGCAGCCTTTCAGTTAATATTACAAGTCTTTCACATACAAAAAGTCATATTTCTTAGTGAAGTATTTTTAATAGAATAAAATAAAGATTTGTAAATGAATATATTGAGTATTTGTTTTGAATAGTCTGGATGCAAAGTAATTTTCATGTTAAAATTAAAAATACCATTTATCATCACAAAAATCTCAATTTTTTTTTGTGTAATCCCTAAAACCTCCTAAATGCATTTCAAACGTTTTTTTTTTTCAGTAAAATTTTATAGTTTATTTGTTATTTTCTCTACTCTATCTAAAAACGGGATCAGTAAATTCAACCGACCTCGTAACCACCCAAAAAAAATGGAAATAAACCTAAAGTAACCTGTTTTTCTTTCTAGAATGACTTCAGATTGTAACATGAAACTACATTCATTTATCCTAAGTTCGTAACATTATACATCTATTTATAATTGAATTTTATTTTTTATTGCCCTTTGAACTGTGTCTAACTAATATCTTTGCCATTATAAGTTGTAAATCACTCGGGAAATGTGCAGCTCACATTACGCTATTGAATTACATTACCCACGTGGTGCTCTGGTGCGTGCCTCATGAACCATTTTAATTATATTATTATTACTTATTTTACCTAATCTAGTCTTAAATAAATTAAAAAGATCCATATTTTTAGATTTTAGTTCCTGTTATGATATTAAATAAAGAATAAATATGAAAACAAGAAATAAAATACTTAACTAATCTTGTTTTTTATTGCTGTCGGGTTTCAAAGAAACTTAATAATTTTTATTTAGTTATATAATGCACCAAATAATATAGACTAATAACATACAAAAAGTAGACAAATTCACTTACCTCTCAAAATTTTCCTGGCTTTCTAACTATGTGACAAGAGCTGTTACAAATTCATCCAAGCTAGTTGTTAACTTTCCCATGGGAATGAGTCTTGTACTATGAGTGAAATTGATAATATTCTGTTCAGAATACAATGTTATACAGTACATCATTTGATAGATGAGAACTTTGACTTTCTATTGGTTATAGGTAATATATAATGAAACATAAGTGAGAACTATCAACGAATTGTGAAAGAGAAGATATGAC